TTGCACATCCAATAATATGTCCGATAAGTATAAGTAAAAGATGATTCATAATATTTTTTACTGTCTTAATGTCAGAAGCGAGCTCAGACGCATACAAGCTCTATTGCTAGAGAAATGGCTACTGTACTGGACACATCTCTTCTTCAAGCTCTTATTCTTACTGGACAGTCTTCAGGGGCAATAGAATTGTTGAAGGGACTTAACTATTGTGATCTGAAGATATGCAAAGAATTTTTAGAGGAAAGGAGCGATTATATGGTGTTACTTGAGCTCTACAAAAGCAATGAGATGCACCGTGAAGCTCTCCAACTGCTTAATCAATTAGTTGAAGAATCAAAGGCTGAGATGGGAAAAAATGATTTTAACAAAAAGTTCAATCCACAAATGATCATTGAATATCTAAGGGTATTGTTATTCCTCCTCTCTTGACATTTACATGATACTGTTCTTCACTCACATAAATCAATGAGACCGAACCAGTTGTGTGGGATTTATATATATAATATCATGGTGTTTTAGGCTTTCAGCTGCCCTTAACTGAACTATATATGTAAATTTGATGCTTGCATGTTTAAGTGTCTATTAGAAAACAGTAGCATAACATACTAAAAGTGGAAGTATCAGTGAAATATTAAATATCAAGGTGTTATTCATGATGTTCAGAATGGTACTTTCTAAACCATGTTATGTGTGTTAGATTTTTTAATCTAAGTACCTTGTATTTGTGAGTTTTATTGGCATAATATTTGTTTTATATTTTATTGCCTGGTATGTTGATTAAGTTTCATTTGGACTTTTGCCTCTATTATAAGTCAGTATCACATTGTTCTAGTTTTCTCTGGCTGATTTGGCTCTGTGCTTTGTTGCAGCCCCTCTGTCGGTCTGACCCAATGCTGGTTTTGGAATCATCTTTATATGTCCTTGAACGCAACCCTTCAGACACTATTGAGCTCTTTTTATCAGAAAATGTTCCAGCAGATTTAGTAAATTCATATCTAAAACAGCATGCTCCAAATTTGCAGTCAACTTACTTGGAACTAATGCTTTCAATGAGTGTATCTGGGATCAACCCTAATCTGCAAAATGAGCTGGTGTGTACTCTTACTGCTGTTACTTTGTCAGTATGTTAATTTAATTTCATATCTATTGTCTATTGCTACACTGTAGGTATTGCAATTTCGTATCTAATAAATTTATTTGTGCTGTTTAGATGATCTTATCCCCGTACTGGGATCCAAATTTTGAATAAATGGATCACTTTTAATCTTAAGATGGTCATTTATTCTTGTCTGAAGGTACAACTATACCTTTCTGAGGTTCTTGACTGGCACAAGATTCTGAAGGAAGAGGGAAACTGGACTGAGAAAACATATTCCCCAACACGGAAGAAGCTGATAACTACATTAGAGAACAATTCAGGTTACAACACAGATATACTTCTTAAGCGTCTTCCGCAAGATGCTCTTTTTGAAGAGCGCGCTATATTGTATGGGAAAATAAATCAACATCTCCGTGCACTCTCTCTTTATGTGCATAAGGTATTATTGCTCTGTAACATTGTTTTTTAATATTCTCCATCATATTTGGGTAATGGTTAGTTCAGACTTTTTAAGGTTACCCAAAATAACGAGTGTGAGAAAGGCCTGGGGGTCTCCTGGCTAGCATCACAAGGTGTGGGCTAGCCGACCCGGGTTCGAGCCTCACCCTTCTCTTAATAAATTTTGATATGAGAACATTTCCTCTCATATCCAGCGGTTTTATTTTTCAATAACAAGTGTACGGTGTACCTATATTGCAGCTCCAGATGCCAGAGCGAGCAGTTGCATATTGTGACCGTGTTTACGAGGAAGGAGCACAACAACCTTCCAAATCAAATATCTATTTCAATCTCCTACAAATCTATCTGAACCCAAGAAAAGCTGAAAAGGAATTTGAGCAGAAAATTGTTCCAGTGGCATCACAGTACCCTGGAATTCAGAAGGTTACTAAGGTTAGAGGGGCGCGTATGGGTAAAAAGGTTGTTGAGATTGAAGGGGCTGATGATGTGCGCTTTAGCCCCAGTGGAACTGATAGTGGTCGAAGTGATGGTGATGGTGATGGTGATGATGTTAGTGATGGAGGCCCAATAATGTTGAATGAAGCACTTGAATTGTTAAGCCAACGGTGGGATAGAATAAATGGTGCCCAAGCTCTTCGTTTGTTACCTAGAGACACGAAACTCCAGGTAAATGCCTTTCTTTTTATATTGTGGTAGAGATATTTCCTTCTGGCCTGGATTTATACCAAGCCACACTCGTAATTTTGTTGTGTCATTTTCTCTGGAAAGCAACAAAATGATGTTCCTTTTTGTGTTGATATAATACTTTCCCCATTTTGTGTATAAGCCATTTAGCTGTTATTGGTAGTTTAATTGTTATTTAGGCTCTTGAAAAAAATGTAGTTATGCCCCTACAGAACACAGTTATGCAGCTTTTAGATACTTGTGTTCCAGAGTTGGTTGTTTCGGCTTTCTAGCCATTGAAGGTTCTAATGATATAGATATGTACACTTGCAGGATCTGGTGTTATTTCTTGAACCACTTCTGCGGAACTCTAGTGAACATCGACGCAATTATATGGTTATCAAGAACTTGATTTTTCGGGCAAATTTGCAGGTTAGCTTGGTGCTATGATATTCTGTTAGCCGTTCCCCTTTGTTTTCAATGTCTTTTCCATTTTTCCTAGCTTTACTCAATAAAAGATTATGATCTTTAGGATTCTCCTAGGGAAATATCACTGAGCCTTGAAATTGAATTCATGTACCATTGTAACTATGTTAGTAATCGCCCTGTGCTGTAAATGAAAAGTGTGCATTTTCTATGGTAAACTCTTAACTTGGGAATTGGGATAAGAACGTTGTTGAGATGGTCAAGGAAGGTTGATAATTGTGCTGTGAACATAAGAGAAGACAAAGGCAGATAAAATATGTTTGATTGGGATTTGAGACATACTCCTATGTAGTAGAGATAGAGATGGCGTACTAATTTCTTTATTGCATGAACAAATAAGTTTGGCTATGTTATTTTATATGTAGTCAACAAGGAAATTGACAAAACAGAATCGATTTCATAAAACTAAAAATCTCTTAACCATAAGCAGCCAATCTGCTAACCTCTTCTGTGTCACCATGCTCTCTTGTGTGCCCTGCACCTTCGGTAGCAGCCTGGTGTATCACAACATAAACTGTCACGGTGCACATTTGGCTATCTCATCAAGCATACTGTAGTGGTGTTATGGGCTAGTTATGATGGGCTCATTGACTTTATTAAATTTATATGGCCGCTGTTCTACAGTGTTATTATGACGGTATAGTGTTTATTCTTATAATTCTCACTTTTTATCAGGTAAAGGAGGATCTGTATAAACGGCGTCAAGCTGTTCTGAAGATTGATGGAGATAGCATGTGTTCTCTTTGTCATAAGCGGATTGCAAATAGTGCTTTTGCTATTTATCCAAATGGGCAGACGTTGGTGCATTTTGTCTGCTTTAGAGAATCACAGCAGATTAAAGCTGTTAGAGGAGTAAACTCTGTGAAACGTAGATAGCATGTACATTCACCAGGTATGCACTCAGAACTCCCAAGTTGACAAATTAATTTTTAAGTCTAGCATGCACTGATGTGATGGATGACTGACTTTTGGTGACTACTTGAGCTATGTTTCTGCTAACCATTAAAAAGATCTGAACACTCATTCTGATCCCATATGCTTTCATCCTTTTTCCATTTTCCCTTCCTTTTCCACTCATTCTGATGTGAACACTCATTCTGCTACAGTTATAAATTCACATTTGTCACTCTTCCACTGACCTCAGTACATCTACAAATTTGTAACTAACCGCATCGCTGTTTCACAGACTAATACTAACAGAATAAGAGGGAAGTGGCCTCAACGAGCTCATCCTGTGAGACCCAATTTGTTATATCCATACCCAGATCATGACTGGTTCCTAGGTAGATTGTTTTTCCTAGGATGTCATGTTATGAGCTTTGCTGCCATCATCATCTTTCATAGTATTAGATTACCACTTCACCACGACTTCTATCCGATACACATCAACTTCACTACTGGAGTCTGAATTTCCGTATTGTCTTGTTTTGTATTCTGTTTTTGATATCGCATCTGTTTGCTACTGTAGGTTACATAACTATAGTAGTTATTCAGATCTTGCATAGGCCATTATGTTTTACTCATCGAATAGCCTTTTCCGCCGGTCGAACTTTAGCAGTTAAAGCACTTGTGCGAACTTTGCATCACTCTAATAATATATACGTTTGACAGGTGTGAGTATCATCATAGAAAAAAGGATGCAACGTTCGCATTTTCTGCACATCTTTGGAACAGCAAGCCAACAAGCATGCAAGATTTGGGTCCTCAGCACTTGCTGATTCACGTTGCTTGATGTTTCTGATCGAGAGGCGTTGCTTGATTTCTGATCGAGATTTCTTTTGTTTCTGTTGCCTTTACGCGGCTTGGTTTGCTTCATGTATTTTTACTGGCGTTTTCTTCCGCTCTTCAGAGCGTTGGTGTATTCAGTCTGCGCGTGTCTGCCTATCAGTTCGCTTTCGCTTGTTTTTTATGCCCAGAAAGCGTACAAAAATGTAGATGAAAACGTTGTAAAGTTTAGATTAGGTGTGACCGTGATCAGTGTTGTGTTTAATCACCATGTAAACAGGGAAACATAATAGCTAAGTGCTTATGTTTTAATTGAAATATTAATCATAGTAAAGGAGCACTTCCTTTTTCATCCCAGGAATCGCTTAATACGGCCTAACCGTGGTGGGATTACATTGGACGCAATTACTTCAGAACCGGTAAAACCAGCTAAACTTTGGACGCAATTACTTCAGAACCGGTAAAACCAGCTAAACTACTTGCATAAGCCTGTAAAATACTGTGATCGGAACTTGGCAATCATTCTAAACATCCATGAAAATAATGCACACCACCATAGGCACATGCATTTGCACACATGAGATAAGCATGTCTTTTTTTTTTCTCAAAGGAAATGTACAAACATGTCTTGTGGACAGAAGAGCAGGCTTTGCAAACATCTTCTCTAGGTTGAGAATATACTTATATATGATGAAGCTATGAGCTATATGAACAATAGGTACTAGAAATAAAATAAACCGTGAACACCGCAAAATTGGACTTTACCCAGTTCCTCAGGATCAGAGAACCTCTAAGCTGTACTATACTATCATCAAGAATTTTGCCATATGGGCATATATGTATATCTGAACTCAAGCAGCAGCTGCAGCGGTTGCTGTACTTCACGAACCACAGCAAATGTCTGTCTTCCCGGGGATGTTATCTTTCACACCAAACTTTGGTGCCAAGTGCAAAATGCTCAGTCCACATGTTGTTTGTTTTTGAGACGAAGATTTACATACCAAGTTGCAAGGCAGCGCAATACCAATCCCACTAGTATCTTGAATACGGCGAGCATGAAGTAGGTCAGGACTGACCAAAGCAGGATCCAAAATACTCTCCAGATAAATGGGCCAGCAGGAAGGAGGGTGGCATATACTGGAGTCAATACACGAATCACCTACAGAAACAACGCATTGCTTGAATATAAGCAATCTATAAAATGCAGGGTGGTAGTATAAGAGGATGGGCTTTGATGACTTGTGAACTTACCACACACGCAGGGGCAAGGGGGATGAATGTTAGGTCCTTCTGACGGTCATCAGTTTTGTCATTCAAAATCTGCGAAATAATTTCAGCAAGATAAACAATGATAGCAATATTTGGAAGAATAAAGTTCAAGATCAAAGGCAATTGAAAAAAAGCGGTATATAAAATTCCATTATGCTCCACTATGAAAGCTAAAAAAATTGATGGTCCAGAGGATGAGAGGACAATCACGGTTCACAAGAAAAAGGAGCATGCCAAAGGTAAATTTTCAATGCAGGCCAATCATTTATCATAACGGCAAACTGAATCTGTCACTAACATATAGATGGAATTCTCTAAATGGTACTATCAGGGTAAAGACAGTCAATATACTGTTGAAAGATAAACTGTCCAAGAATAGCTGACAAAAAAAAGTTCTAAAACCAATGTCATTTCATATTTGGATTGTTTTGCAGGCATGTAGGTGTCTCGTAGAGTTGGACAGTTGGAATAACTTCAGAATTACAACTTCAAGTGTCAAAGTTGCATGAGTACTGTAGAATTCAAGTCAACAATTACAATGCTAATTAGAGTAAAAAGGATGTAACGTATGAAATCATTTATCAGCACATCACCTGCTTGCATAGGTCTTCCAAAAACTCTGAATAAGCAACTGGCTTTATCTCATTGAACTTTGCAAGGAAAGAGTGCTTGATAGCATCAATAAGTACTTCACACATAAATACCAAGGAGGCATTCTGCGGTAAAGAAAAAAAAAGGTGATATAGATTTACAAAGAAGAGTCTGTAGCTATGTGAAGTAAACATAGTGAAATATTGAACTTACAATAAGAAAACTGTCAAACCATGGTCCCTCTGCTTCTAAGATATTCTGAGCTAGTACAAACAATAGAAAGGATGTGATGTGAAACCTCTCAATGATGTCTGCAAATCAAATTGTTAAAACCACATGAGACTCATGTGCCACCACAGCAAGAATTATGAAGACTAAACATTGTAAAAAAATGGAAAAAAAAAAGTAACTGGGGCATGTGAAATGCACAATGCTTTCTTAACTAAAACTAGAAAAGTTAGGTATTTTGAAACTAAGGTTCACAATGTAGCACAAGCGGGTCCCTACAACATGAATGGTTATCGATCCAACATCTACGTAGATAACATACGTGCACAAAGTGCAACTCAGCACTATCCATTGATCAACCAAACATTGAAAGAATAGTGTACAATCATATGAAAGCAATACGCATACTGTTCAGAATTATGAAAATTAGAAAAATCATAAACATACTCACCATAGTATACCAAATTGTGAAGGTTCTCTTTGCTAACACGCTTAAATACATTGCTTTTTATCTCAGCAAAATTATTGGACACCAAAAGAGCCAATAGTGCATTGTTGTGGGCAATAATACATGTTGACAGGGTGATCGCCTGAGCTAACAGGACAAATGAATGGACAAGTATAACTTGTTAAGGAATCAAATCTAGAAAATATCAAATAACAACAGCAGCAATAGCACAAGTCAACCTACAGTGTAATTAGAAGATTGAAAAATAGATAAAATGAAACTACTGTAAATTCAATTGGGACTAATAGCCAAGGATATCAAAGGCAAGAACTGCAATAGCCTCATCCAAAATGAACCGCATCAGCTCAAATGTTGCATTATCTGTCGAGCATGTTGACAGTCCCTCAGCAGAGTTGAACAAAACTTGTAAGACATCCTCACCAAATGATTGACAGAGTTTGTCAAAGATCTAGAAAGCAAAATAAAGGTTTGGATGAGCTAAGTAATCGAGCAAATAAATTTCCAACAAACAGCCTTGCTCACCTCTAGCACGTTGTATACAACATATAATTTGATTGTGCCCTGGCCACGAATGACATGGTAAATCAAACTAATATCTGGCACACACAAAACCAACTGTGAGTGGATTATCGTATGCGTGTAGGATATCATTTGTATTTAGTAAAAGCCACACAAAAAAGACAAACCTATCATTTGCAAAGAAGCAACTCCTAAAGCTAGAACTACAAAGCATCCATAATCTGATAAATCAGCAGCATTAGGCCTCAGAAACTGCCTGTCACAAATACAATGGGTAAGTATGCAACTCAATATGGCTATAAATGAAGAACTAAACTGGAAAAAGTGGTTGATCCAACAAAATAGGACGCAAAAGTATATGGCAGAAAAAATGCTTAATGTTATAAGCACCAATAATTGGCTATCATAAAACTATGAGAATCATACATCAGCTTATCAATCTACTATCGAAAAAGAAAGGAACAACATATTAACTAAACTCATATTGGCAATGGATCATACAAAGTAAAAAATTAGCTGCCTAACTAAATTGGAATAGTAGCAAAATAAATAGCATCAGTTGCTGCAGATCCAGTTAACATTAGCAACAGCTACCCACCTGGTTTTAAGCACCCGCCAGACTGTAATGGCAATTCTTGCAGGCATAATGGTGAGTAGAGATAGAAATGAATCCAAGCAGACAAAGAATCCTGCGACAATCAGCTGCAGCATTTTATCACAATCAAACATCTCCTCATCAATTAACCAAATATATGAACTAATGACCTATTATACATATTGAAAGTTAGTGTTTCTAGATGAACCTGTTTCTAATCTCTATAATTGAGTTACTTGTTACTAGCATCATCATGCTTGGACTTTAAAAGATCTGTTTATGCATAACACATTTTGAAACCATTTAGGTAAAATATTGCAATTATGTAAACACAATTCAATTAGCAAATTGTTACTTCCTCCGTTTCACAATGTAAGTCATTCTAGCATTTTCCATATTCATATTAATGTAAATGAATCTAGATAGATATATATGTCTAGATTCATTATCATCAGTATGAATGTGAGAAATGCTAGAATAACTCACATTATGAAACGGAGGGAGTATTCTATTAACTTTGGCTAAATGTTATTTGTCTATGATCTGTACATTTTAAAGTTATTAACTCAAACCTAATCACTACATGGTTCAGAGGCATATATTTGTAAGTTTATTCAAATACTGCCCCAAAAAATATCTACTTGTAAGGTTACACATAGCAATATCCTAACCAGGATCTGAATCGATAAATACATACCTCCTATCAAGATAAGGGCGATTCACATGAATTCAGCAAATTATTTTCATTTCCACCATAAAATAGGATTGCTCTAAAAATTCCAAATACTCTAGTGTATGGGGAGGGTATCAGGGTGCAACTGGCATGATTACAAGTGCAGAAATATACCCGTTCACATCTCCACGGCACATGAAACATAGTGTTGTAGACCCGCTGTCGTTTCTTATCATTGCCCGCTGAAATTGTGCCTCTAAGTGAATTTCCACCATATAGTTCTCCAAGGAAGTATCTGAATGGTGAGTTGTCAAGGCGCTCAACTTCTGCAGCAGTATTTGAAAAGAGCGGTAAATGCATGGTTATAGACTTCTTAACTCAATACACAACAGGCTTATTATAGGGCACCCTAACCAGACTTGAAATATGACGAGGACTGACTGAAATTTGGCACTTGTTCAATTTTTTTTTCTTTTTTAAAGCCCTGCAATTGGAAGAAGAGTACAATATGTTTCTTTGAAGCTTCTCTGGTAACAGTTACAGATTTAACCACAAAAAGGCACGATACCAGCAATCTCTATAAGCCACATTGTTCTGTTTGTGGCCAGCTCTCCAAACTTGAGTTGGTCTAAAAATTTCTAAATAGAACACCTTCATTATACCCCAAAAAAAAGTGATTTGACGCCCCTAGGCTATCCTGAGACGACGTTCACATAAGACTCGTAGTATTTCAGAACAGATACATGTCTCAAGAACATCCCATCAATCTGACTAACCTAAGTTCAGCACTGATTAAATGACGTCACAAAACACAAAAATGGAACATCAACGAGAAGCACAAGAAACTTCGTTTGAATACGAGAAATCAGCGAGATCCATACCTCCAAGAACGTTGCCATTCTCCTTCATGTACCTCTCCCAGTCTAGCGAATCCTCCTTCTCCAGCTTCTTCCCGCCACCGTTCGCCTCAGGCCGCCACGCCGCGGGCGCCGCCTCCGGCACCGCGGCAGCCGCCGCGGCGCTCTCCCGCGCGCTGCTGCCGCAGCTGCTGGTCGCGTCCTCCCGGGACACCACCCTCCCGCTCCCGGAGACGCTCCTCTGCCGCAGCTCCACCCCGACGCCCACGTACGTCACGCAGCTCGCCGCGGACCTCTCCGCGTCGGAGCTCTCGCGCTCCACCACGGACACGGACACCAGATCCGACACCCCGACGACGCCGCCGCGGCGCGGCGTCCCCTCCTTCTCCTCCTCCTCGATCGGGGGGCTCCGGAGCCCGCGCTTGCGCTTGGAGCGCCGCCTCCGGCGCCGCTGCCCATCGGAGGTGGTGTCGGGGAAGGAGCGCGGGGAGAGGTCGTCGTCGGCGTCGTCGGCCGCGGCGAGGCCGCCCTCCCCCAGGAGCTCGAAGGAGAGCTGGCGGGTGGCAGATCGGAGTGGCATACCCGGCGGCGGGCGACCTGCGACGGCGACGAGGGCGGCGCCCTCCCCGGCGAACCCTAGGCGGCGGTGGACGTCGCCGCCGCGCCGCGGCGAGGAGGCGGAGGCGGGGGAAGGAGGGGAGCAACGGACGCGGAGGCGAAGAATATTTTTTCTTTTTTTTTTTCTTCAGATTCGCGTTTATTTGTGCGCTTAATCCGTTTCGTCGCTTAATTTCGGGATTATTTTGGGTTTTTCCGCGATGTGGCAGCTGGGTACTTGCACAGGGGAGAATGTGCGAGTGGAATTTTCAGCCGTTTTTCCTGATTCCTTGGGTACATTCAAGAATCAGAAAATTATAATTGTTTATTTTCTTTGAAAAGGGACCAGCGAATTTGGTAATGACACATTAATTGCCACGTCAACGCCGTGTGGCTACTCACAAGTAATATAGTAGTATTTTTTTTGTTTGATCTATTGTATTCAGGCCATGTTTCTTTCAGCTTGTAATTATTATAATCTAGATTATTGAGTCAGATTACTATAAGCTAGATTATTATAATCTGTAGTAGAATAAACAGTTAGTTGTTTCTTTCCTAGATTATTAGAGCCTAAATTATTGGGTTTGCAAGTTTAAAGAGGGAGTGGGGTGACATGGTGCGTAATTTTTCACCCAATAATTTAGAAAAAGCTCACCTAAGGCCTTGTTTGATTCAGCTTAGGATTATTATAATCTGGATTATTAGGAGTAAGCTGAAACAAACAAGTAGATTATTATGCTAGATTATTATAATCTATAAGCCAGATTACTATAATCCAATAATCTCCTCAAGAGAAGCTTTTTTCAGATTATTGAGTGGCTAAAGACCCACTACCCTTAGATGCCTCTAATAATCCAGAGAAACAAACAACTCGTAGCTTATTTTATGTTAGCTTATTATAATCCAGTTTAGAGTAATCTGATTTAATAATCTAGATTACAATAATCTTAAGCTGAAATAAACATGGCCTAAATGAGCTTACCAGATTATAATAAGCTGGGCTCCAGATTATAATAAGCTACTTCAATAAGTTATTCCAAGCTAAAAGAAACATGGCCTGAGATTAGAGATCACCTTGAAGAAAGAATAATGTGTCTTCTCTTCAATATCATAATTTAGATTAAAATTTATCAGTTTCAAATAATTCTATAGGGAACCGTGTTCTGAATGTGAATATTTTGTAGAAAGACTAATCTCAACCAAATTGAACTTGAAAACATATGTCACAATTTAGGCATGGCGGTACACATAACACAGGTATATGAGGGGAAAAAACGGCTCCTTTCGAGATAGTAACACATGATACATACACAAATTCCTTTGAATTCAAATGCTACACACACTAAAACAGAACACAAAAAAAATGAATGAACAAATGAACCGATGAACCCCCAAAAAAAAAGGGATTGACATACCGTCTGAATGAACGAATTGATGAATGAATGAATCGTCAAAAACCAAACAACTTTTGTACAGACGTACATCGACTACGGACATGTTGAGAGAGAGAGAGAGACGCGTCTTGGAGTGCCACCGCTGCTGCTTGCGTGCGTGCGTGCGTGTGGCTACGGACGCAGCTGCTGCTGCGGGCAACACGACGCGCCCACCGTGTTGCCATCATGCGTGCAGCACGACGCCCTCGACAGCAGCGACCTCGCCGCGCGCGTCACGGCATCACCGTTCGCGCCGGTGCCCGGCGCCGCCCTCGCCGCGTGCGCGGCTGTGGCGACCAAGGCGAGAATCAGCAGCAGCAGCTTGCGCACAGCACCGCCGCCCATCAATCAAGCCAAAAAAAAAACCAGCAGAGCGACTCACAAGCAACGATCGATTTGTTCACGCTTAATTTGGATGAAACAGGGGCGACGGGTACGGCCACGGGAGGGTGGCGTTTATATATACCACAGCTTACTACTACTAGGTGTTTTGTCATTGAAACGCGACGGCATTTTCCTTGGGAATTCTCTCCACTTCTCCTCCGCCAAGTTGTTTTTCACCGAGTTTTCCTGGGGCGTTTTGCCGTTTTGGACGCCGGCGTCCGTCACGTCGCCTCCCACGCTGCGTCCGCCGATTCGCGGAATATGCACCTGCTGGTGGGTGCTGGCTACTGTGTACTTGTGCGGCACTTTCACGGGATCATCTCGGAAAGGAAACCACGAAACGGGCCAATCCGGTGCATATGGTCCAAGGCCGACACGGCCCGGCAGAAGGGGCAAGACGGTGCATACGTGCCAATTCTTTGCCGATGGATATGCCGGGGATGTGATGGTTGGGCCGGTTCCTCCGTTTCACTCGCCGAGCGAATCACTGATGATCATCGGGCCACCGGAACCCGCCGACTGAACTGGGTACTGAAACGCATCGGTGTCGCTGCCATGGTGCTGCCGTGCTGCGCCGTTGAACTGATCACAGGCACACAGCTTTGCGGCGGTGTTGGGTTGAAGAAGGATCTCTGGCGGCGCATTCAGGTCTGCGACCTGCTTGATGAAACGCCGGCCCTGCGTGAGAGTGATCACTAGAGCTACTACCAAGATCCAGCTAGCTAGTGCCTTATTTGCCACCAAACATAGAGCCACCGGAATGTAAATATCTAGGACCTGTTTGGAGGAAAACTATTCTAATTAATCCTCGAAGGGATGTCCTCTCGTTATTTGCATGTCACTTAAATGATTATAAAAAAATATTTAAGAAGATGTATTAACATATGATATATCACTCCACAAACATGTATGTTCAAATTCAACATATACATGTTGCAACGAAAAAAACAAATTAAACTACAGCTAGTTAATATTTTTTCGTTGCGACTTATAGAAGTTGAATTTGAATTGCATGTTTGTGGAGTGATATATTACATCTTGATACATCTTCTCAATTTTTTTTAAAAAAATTCATAACCATTTGAGCGACGTGCAAAAAATGAGAGGACATCCCCTCGAGAGTTAAAATCCACTCCCCTATTTGGATGCATACTTTACATGGTCAATGTAAAGTATCTCCAACAAAATGTAAAGTACTATGCATCCACACTTCTATTAGCTAAAAGTATAGCCAACAAAATATGTATTTGATTACGCAAGCTAAAATTTGATCAACATAGAGAAAAAATGAGTTTCAATAGATTCTCCGTCCAGATGGCTAAGCAAAATGTTTCCAGCCTCCTCTGCTGACCAAAGGTGGGTCCCACCACCTCTTCCATCCCTCCTTTCGGTTCCTCCCCTCACTCTCTCTCTCTCTCTCTCTTTGTCAGCCACCCACTAGCAAGCAGTGACACCGTTAGTGGCAGATTAAGCGGCGACAACAGTGCTGATCGTGGAGTTAGGAGTAGCGACGCTTCAGAGTTAGGTGCTCTTATAACAAGGAGCAGCAAGCGATAGTGATAGAGCAAGCAGCGACCTTGAGCACGCCGGTGGCGCGCTCGGGGATTAGATCGGATGGCACGCCGGCCTCGAGCGCACCGCTCTCCACTACGGTTGACGTCGTCGTCGTCAGATCCGCCCACAACGGGGAAGATGTCGCCAAATGCGCTTGTCACCGCCGCCGTTGGTGGCTTCGGATCCACACACGGTATGGCCACGAGCCCCCTTGCCTCGAGCAACACCAGCCACCGCTGCCGCCTTTACCTCCTCATGATCTGCCGGTTGGGTGGGGGAAGGGAAAGATGTGGAAGGAAAGAGGTATGAAGAATAAGGATAGAGATTGACATGTACAATCCACTGTTAGACCAGAGAAGGTAATATATAGGTTATTAGAGTGAAAGTAAAATTTGACTCTCCAATTGTTTAGCAAACTTAGCTAAATGGGTATTTGGAGAGTTGGATTTGAAGATGTTGGAGACACTCTAAAGCATTTCCAAATCTAGCTATTCAAATGCCCGTCATCATGCAATAGTAGGCATGATGGTACACCAACTATCAGAAGAGTCAATTACTTCCCTTGTTTTAGGTTATAACATGTTTTGATTTTGGTTAAAGTCAAACTGCTTTAAGTTTAACTAACATTATGGACAAAAATAGTAATATTTACCTTACCAAATTAGTTTTATTAAATTAATAATTAAATATATTTTATAATAAACTTATATTGGATAAAAATATTACTATTTTTTTCTATAAACTTGGTCAAACTTGAAGCAGTTTGACTTTGACCAAAGTCAAAACATCTTATAAACTGAAACGGAGAGAATAATCCTTAAAAAAAAGTATCAGAGACAATTTCTCTGTAGGAGGGGAAAAGACTCCTTTTAAACTCGTAACACATTTCACAAAGGATTACACAATTAATTAATCTCTTTCGACTTGAAATCCTATCACATATGAAAAGAAAAGGAGAAAAAAATAAACATATGAATGAACCGATAAACCCAAGAAAAAAAAAGGATTTACCTCTAATGCCTGACCGGCCATATGAATGAAATTATCAAAAGCCAACACTAATGTACATACGGTCAATAGTAATACCGTGTTACATATGGGACTATGCATTCGTTGAGATCAGGGACGAGTCCACGTTTTGGAATGCCGCCTGCTGCCGCCGCCGCTGCGTGTGCGCGCGTGCTACCGATGCCGCTTCCCCGGGCAGCATCCCGTGCCCACCGTGTTGCCGTCGTGCGTGCAGCACGACGGCTGCGGCCTCGACAGCAGCGACCTCGCCCCGGCCCCGCCACCGCCTCGGCCAGCGCTAGCGCTGCCCGTGCCCGGCACCGCCCTCGCGGCGTCCGCGCCGTGCGCGGCCGCAGCAGAGACGACCAAGGCGAGAACCAGCAGCAGCTTCACCAGCTTGCCCACCGTGACGGCCGATCCAGCAGCGCGCGCCGCACCACCACAGGAGCCCATCGTCGTCGAGGAAGCTGCAGTATCAACGCAAGAAAAACCAGAAAAAAAATCAGAAGAAGAGCGATCTGTGTTCACGCTTACAAAAACGGAGGGAAGCACGTACGGGGGAAGGGATATATATAGCGATCGCGAGGAGTTTTTTCATGGAAAAGATACACGATTTTCCGGATTTTTCATGGAAAAGAGAGGCAATTTTCCATGGGTAAATTCGTTCGTTCTTCTCTGTTATCTCCACTCCTACTACCCCGCGGAAGTTTGCATGAAAGTTTTCCTGTGCGGAGACCGTGCCACTCGTGGGCGTGTGGCCTTTCGGCTTCTGCATGAA